ACTTCGCTTCTAAAGATTACATTGACCTCTCCTTTCGCGTCAAGTCTCACAAGACCTCCTCTCCCTTTGGTCGAGTATCTTCAAACCTTCATCTGCTCTTGATTTACCAATTTATCTGGAGTAGTCTCCCGTTGAGCTTGGTTTGTGACTTCTTCTTTGGACTGGAATTCCTGTACCTCTGTCTTCTCTTTCAAAGGCTTCTTCCATATTGACCATGGATTATGGATTCCAGACCCGGTCAACGACCCGGAACCTAAGCGGAAGAAAAAGAAAGGAGTAGTCAAAATCCCAGAGCAAAAGACTCTGTTCAATATGGCATAGTCTTGTACACGTGGATATGGTATACGCCAAAGAGCAATGGTTCTTCATCCATAGTGTGATTCTTCTTGTATATTACCATGTAGAGTCTTAAACAAGAAATCCGTAGAGGTAGAAAGAGTCATCCCCTAACCCAAAACTTAGTCAATTAGTCAGTAAAAGACTCGGGAATACTGCCCGAATAGAGTTTTCGTCAGTCTCTTCTTTTGAAGAGTTCTTTCTTAAATAAAAGATGCTCTAACTGCTATGCTACTGGTTTAGCAGTCACTGCTTTGGTAGAAGTAGACGCCTATTCTACTCTAGCATGCTTTCCTTGAATTATGCTCTTATTTGTTTTGTGAAACTTGTCGCAATGCGCATGTTGCAGGCCAAGTTGGTCAATGGGAAATGCCAAAGAAGAACCATCCCAAGTGGCAAGTAATCGCCTAAATATAAGAAGAAATAGACTCCTCTTACCCCCTCGGGTTACGTTTCAATGTTGTATAGGCCACCAAGAGTGGAGATGGTTAAGACCTGGGCCCCAAAGAGCTCTCTATTGGAAAGCTTTGGCTTCCACTCCTACTTTACTTACTCTTACGCCCTAAGGCTCGACCTGCTCCTAGGCGTCGGCAAAAAACGAAGCCCTTGGTTGACGACCAGTCCCATCCCGAGATGCGGCTGTGTCCATATGAGAAGCCTTTCCGAGTGCTGCCCCTAGCGGGCTTTGTCTCTGAGCCTAAGTAAGAAGGTCATCAATAATCCGAGCATAAGCCGGGCTCGTCTAGGTCGCTCACTTCGTCAGTGGCTTCCCTATCTCTTGCGGCTGGTGGTATAATTGATTTAGTATGCGGATCGCATCACCATATTTTGAAGGGCCCTCCCTCGGGGCACCTCCTGTAGTTAGATTCAGTAGTGATTTTCATTCGTCAGAGGTCTTTCTCAATTACATCGACCCTGCCTTGTGGTTTTCCTTCCATGTCTCACTTTCTTTCCATTGCTACATAGGGGCCCCGCCCCGAGTGCACTTCATCCATAGTACGGGTGTGAGGTCAATCTAACGCCTTTTCAGCGAAGCCAGATTCGTTTCCGATATGCGCTTCCGTTCCATCCGACTACACTGGACTCATCTTAACGCAAGGGGCCACCCACCCTTTCCCCTTGCCCCTCTCACTCCCTAAAGAAGAATTGCCTAAGAAATGAGAGGGCCCCACCTACTTAAGCAAAAAGAAAACGACCGTACCCGGGTGGTGCCCTTGCCCTCTGGCCGTGGGTTTTTGTCACTTCCCCCTCACCTATCAAACTATGTCTCAGAGTGTTCATCGATATTTCTTTCTCTTTTGAACACTTTATTCTTCAAAGATTGATAGGCTTGAGAAGCTAGCCCGCGCCGATTAAGCTCGTCTAAAAGCTCATAAAGCCTCTCCAAGGATTCTTCCCCAGTGGTGGTACGAGGATTGTCGAGAGCGCGAGCCCCTCTTAGCTCCCAATCCCCCTCCGGATCAAGAGGCGCCATCCGCCTTATGATCTCCACTTTGACCTCGAAACGATCCTCGGCGTCTATACGGGCCCTTTCTATGACCTCTATGACTTCACTTCGCTTCGCTTCGTTTTTAGAGTCTCACTTTGCTCCCCTGACGTAAAAGATTAGCTCTACCCCCTGTGTCTAGGGATTCCTGGGGCATGAGTGAAGCGTATAGTTGATTGCTCTTTCTTTCGATTGAGCGTCGGTACTTTTGTTTTTGAGTCTCTCTCTGTAGGCGTGCAAAACAAGAGAGCCACTGCTCTTCTATGACTGAACTTCGTTTCGCTTCTAAAGTATCGCTCTTCTTTGTTTTTTTATTTCACTCTGCAGTCATTATTTTCTTACTTATGCTATGTTTCCTTCCTTTTCGCTTTACTGCCTTTTTTGCTTTGAATGTAGCTTATGCCACAGGAGGTCATTCGGGTCATATTGACAAGAGTGGAAGCAACGGCGGCTCTTTTCAGAACGGGCCTTCGGTCTCGGCTAGTGGATCAGCTAACCCTTGCTCCGCGTATATCAACACAAGTTCACGACCGACTTCCAGTAGCCAGTCTCGTAATTCATTCTTATCCTTGAGGTCTTGGACCTTTTCTAATATGATAACAAGAACTTCGTCTATGGATATTTTGACTAGAGTAAAGGCGATGAGTCTACTTTTAGAACTTTCAGCCAACAAAGATCCAATGTAAGTCAGACTTCCAGGCGCATCAGAATCTAATTGGACAGGGATCCTTTCTTCCACAGGCTTCGACTTATTAAGCATCTGTTCATCTCTGTTATCCAAAGATTCCATAAAAAAGGGATGGGTCGGAGAGCAAAGTGGGGTATTGAACTCCTGTAGCCCTCTCCTGTAAGTCGAGCGACTTCGTATCGGTACGGTGAAGGCTACGAACTTGTATGACCAATGGCGGGTATAAGGCGACGAACGTTCTCACAAGTGGTAACTTAAGGATCCATGTAATTGAGTTGACCACTGAAGCAATGAAGTTAGGAAGTGACTTGATTTTCATCGCGCTATCACTACAGGATTCGGATCTTCGGCTGATAGTAGTCTTCGGGCTACGAGGTCTTATGAGTGAAATAGAGAGCTACGCAGCGAAGCTATGTTTAAACTGAATATTTTAAGAAATGGGGTGACCCAGCTAATCATGTGAGGCACGGCGGATGCCGTACACTTGAGTAGAAAGTCATAAGGAATAACTTAACTTAATTGCGGGGATCGACTATCAATTGTTCCTTGCGATTATAGGAGGTTTAGGGTCGCCACTCGTTGCATATTGAATGTAAGGCAAGTCCTTTTCAAGCTACTTGTGGGACATCCTGACTTACTCCCGCAAAGAAAGTCGGTTCGATCTCTTCTAAATTGGGAAGTTTGGGTGAGATTCAAGGAGGGGGACACAGCAGGAGATTCATAGGATCTGTTGGTTTCCTGGTCGGTCAGTCGTAACAAGGTAGCCGTTGAAAGAGTCGGTCTTGAAAACCGAAGTATTGATAGGAAGCTAAAAAGCGCTCTTTTCAAGAAAGATCGTAGCGTAAGGCTCGATGAAATTGACGACCAAACAAACTTTTCGAAGCGCAGTGAAGTCAAAAATCAGTATTGGCGAAGCCAAGTTCAGTCATAAAAAGCAGGTGGCTCCGCCATCTAGCAAGGAACCTCCAAGGGACGCTCAATCCCCTACTAGTGAAGAGACCGACCACATATGAAGAGTCACATTCCAACCAAATACATCTCCATCCTCTGTCATAGGCAATCTCCATAGCCGTGATGGCCGCAAGAAGCTCAGCCTCAAAAGCAAACATATGCCCAGCATCAATGGAAAAACAGCCAATCACCTGACCGCCTGAATCCCTAAAGATGCCTGCCGAGACACTTTCCCCAGGAGCGGCAAGAGAGCTGCCATCAGTGTTCACCTTAACCCAACCAACCACCTAGGGGCCCAGAGAACTGGAATCAAACGTCTGGGTAGGCGTGGTCGTCCTGTAACATGCAAACCCCGGAGGATCGCCAAATCACTAACCGAGTTATGCATGTAGCCCATGCACACCGAAGAAGTCTCCACGATCATTCTGCGAATGAGCATAATGACGCTAGGCAAGTGAGGAGTAATGTTATCTCAACTTCGTCGATCCTCGTGTACTTTAAGCCCAGGTCGTGGAGATAACAGAAGACTTCCAGAGGGACGCCACCTGCTCACTGAAACTGCAAGTCATCGCATAGATCCAAAACTCCTTCCTTTATGACTTCACTTCGCTTCGCTTCTAAGTTGGGTCGAAAAATCGTTCCACCTCGGCTTATACATCTGCTCTTGTTTTGTTGCCGATGCCTTAGGGTCCACTGCTCTATCTGCTCTTCCTGAAGCAGTTTGTTTTGCCAACTTGAAGAATTGTACATAGCAAGGTGTTCCTCCCGTTAGTGCTTCTTTTTACCGTATAAGGCTCCTTGAATTGAATACTTGACCTTAACTACGATCAACTGCCCTTGGAAATCCTTTTTTTCGAATACTGGTAATCAGCTCCCTCACAAGAAAGGAATAGCAGAACATCCTCAACTCCAGCTCATGCATAAGCGGTACACGCCACGAATACAGTTACCTATCCCTTGGTGGTGCTTCCTTTTTGCCCCTTTTTTTGAAACTGATCCTTCTACGAGCCATTGAGAGAAACCTGATAAAGCTTGCCTAATGCTTGGACACCAGCTTACGAATGCATGAACTCCAACTGGATTTTTGGAAATGATGAAACTTCCTACGGTCAGGCTCGATTACATTGACCTGAATCTGGAACTGGCTTATAGCCTTTATCAACTATACCTTTCTCTTCTCTGGAAAAGCTTGAAACTCTATTTTGTATAGCTCCTGGGGAACTGCTTAGTCTATCGCTGCTACTTGAGCTTCTGTACTGTCTTATTGCGTGCTTAGGGCAGTATTCTCTGGTGAATTTAACTTATAGAGATAGAGTTGTAGCATTCCAGGAAATGATGTTGAGCTAATCCTTCTCAACTTCCGCTAACTCTTTCATCTTCCTTGCTTGGGTGAGTTGCTTGGAAAAGAAAGAAGATCTTCGTTTGGGCGGGTTATGAAGTAAGGGCAAGAAAGGATGCTGGACGGAAAAAGTGCCTGACGCTTGAATATGGGCAGGGAGCTGGATTAATTGTCTTATTAATTAATAAGGGCAGTACATAAGGTTCAAAGGACGGACAGACAGACGGATAGGAACTGTCCCAAGGGGTGTCTGACACCGGAACATATACAAGAAGAAGTAGAGAAAGCTAGGAAGGGATCAAGCAAGGGCTAACCGATATGTAGAAGGCTGGTTTCAGGGATTTGCCTAATGAGTAGGTTAAGGCTCCTAGGGAATCCAGTTAAGAAGGAGGAACCCTCTTCAATGGCATCCTTGGCTAGAGTAGAGCAGAGTTCCTTGGGAGTGGGCTATGAGACTGGAGTCAGTCCGGTAAGTAAGTTAAGTTGATCCTCTGATGGCGTCTATTTCTTCTGGATATTCTTCTTGTGTTGAAACCTTGGAAGGTGGAACCAACTTCCCGAGCAAATAGTGCCTCCAGTCTTTCACAGCCAGCACTCTCGTGTACATCTCCAATACTTCTGACTTCACTGCGCTTCGTTCGTTGGGTTCAACCTTCGACCAAATCATCTGCCTTCAAATCCTTCCCTTCCGGGGGAAGAGCAGGATTTTCTCAAGGACCTCTTCATAGTCAACTTACTTCGCCGCGTAGCGGATATAAAGTAAGTTCGTCAGAGAAAGACCCATCGGACTTAGTCAACTTTCTATTCATATCACCATATTACGTCAAGTCACCGACGCCTGCTGATGACCAACGAATAAATGCTGGGAAATTTGAATCAGTGAAAGTGAGCTCTAAAGCCAATCACCGAAAAGTGTAAATACTCTCTGCCGTTCCAAAGCTCTTTCTATTCTAGAGATGGTGACTTGGAAATTAATGGGATAACCTTCTTTCTTCCAGTTTCCCAATTCTTTCGAGATGCCTTCTTCACTGGCCGGGCAGAAGTACTCAGCTCGTTTAGTAACTGGAACCTATTAATTAGGCGAACAGGAGAGCAAAGTGAGACTTGACTGAAAGGAGACTGACGAAGCGAAGTTCAGTCAAAAATAAGGGAGAGGAGATTAGAAGTTGACGAATTGGTTGAGGAAAAGGAAACCCCAGCGACCAAGCACTCCCGCCCCCANAAAGCTACGACCGAAAACCCGAACCGCTTGACTGAACCATCTGGAGTTATCTTACAGCTCACCAGATGGTTGGCCAGCGACCACTGACCTGTCGCCTCCTTTTCTTTCTAACTTGAGTCCCTCTCGGACTCCGACTAACTCCGTGGCCCAGTCTCTTTCTGTTAAAGGGAGAACTGAGGTTCGAATCCTGCAATCTCCGCATTGACTTCTAGACTTTTTTCCCACCCCTTCCCCAGTCTAATAGGCCAAGTCACTCTTACCCCTGGGAGTGATTCTTCAGGCCTCAACCCCCCCCGGCGTGGCCAGGTTGAGAGAATGAAAAGAGGTTCGATCATCTAGTTGCATCACAGCTAACCGCCCCTCTGTGATGGAAGTCCTGGAGATGGTGATCCACTACCCAACGAACTTTTCGAAGCGAAGTGAAGTCATAGAAGTCAAAAATATCCAGGCATTGAATCAAAGCTCTATTATGCAGATCCAAGCGTCGAATGCCAAGGCCGGCCCCCCATATACTTTGGCAGGCAAACCGTGTCCCAATTCACAAGGCTCTGTCCTCCCTATGGTCGCCTGCAAACTCTTAAGATAAGTACTTATCACTCTCCGCTACAATNGTAATCGCTACTTTCGGCTGCCCGACATGGTCTTTTAATAATACATATCTTGTCCAGCTGTTAATGAATTTTGAGCTTGTTCCTTAGCCCTCTTCTTGAGCACGGGCTTACTCACAGGAAGCTGGACTAGCAGATGACTCTTAGTTAGACTGGTACTAGTTAGGATCTCACGGTCGATGTAATTGAGTTCTTCAGTTCTTAATCCATACAAGGTATATTGGGCAGCTATGGAGTCTGGGTTTCCAAATGCAGAGGATTGGGTTAAGGAATTGAACCTTTCTCTCGAGGTGATCTCGAACATCATATACGCTAATATAAGAGCACCAACGGAAGACCTATGGAGTCATATTCCTTTGGTCTTCTTAAGGTTGACCTTATGGGGAATATTAGAATCTCTTACCCGAAAGTAGGAAATTCAGGATGTCTCCTCAGGATAGCTAGTAAGGAAAGCAGACAACGAAGGCTATTATCCGTCGTTCGGTCTAATTTCCTAAGGAATGGTCGAACCGGTGTATTCCAGATCATGATATGGGCTAGCAGGTGTGTTCTAAATAATAGAAGGAAAAGAAAACCCAACGAACGAAGCGAAGTCCCGATCGCAAATAGCATCTTTTTCAAACCACGTTTGAGACAGCAGGCGGAGGATGTGATGAGTCGACATTTGAGAGA